AGAACCCTTTGCCCTGCACAGACAGCCTTCCTCTTTGAATTTTTGGTGCCATATCTAAATCTGCTTTCTAGTTGGTTCCTCTTTCTTGAATTTCCTCGAAAATACATGCAACGCACTCTTGTTTGACTGTGACCGTGCAAAACACACAAAATGCCTTTTCATTTCTAGTGGACGTCATTCTTCACCCTGAAAAAAGAAAGAATTTACTTACACTTATTAGGGCAAGAAATGTATTTAGACTTCCAAATGATGTCAGTTTTTACATCTGTTAATAAATAGACAAATTTAGATAAATCGATATAGATTTACTAATTGTAGCCCAAGGCCGAAAGTATGGAGCACCCAGTGACAATTGAACTCACTACACAGTCGGAATTTATTTTTCAAAACAAGCTTGCTAGCCATTACCCTAGTTTGAGTGTCCCCCATATATATATATATATATATATATATATATATAAAAGAGAGAAGCCGCAAACGTTTTTCGTTATAATGTGGATTTTTGTTGAAACTTGACTAATGCATGGAATAATAATGCAACACAAAATGTACTTAGAACAAAATGTATTAAAACAAGACAATGTACACAATATTTACATATAGTCTTTTGTATATTCCTGGTAAGACCGTTCCTGGAGAATGTGTTGACTGAGTCGTAGTTGGGCAGAGTCTCTGGTTGAATCTCTTGATTCCTCCCTCTCTTCCCGGTACCAACCATATTTATATGGTCGGTACTCCACTATGCAAATTAGGTGGATCCTACCACAACAATTTTTTAAATATATATTATAATTTTTATTTTCCATATTTTTGCTGCATGAGTTTCCAGTCTTGTGACCTTCATCGGGCAAAGATTGTTATTTCCACATATTATTAGAAGGAATTAATTTTCCTTATGTTTTCCGATGTTTAACTATTGTTTTTTGTGTAACCCAATTTCTTGGAACTTGTGGCGAAAGTATTCTACTGCTTGAGAGATAATAAAACAATTAGGATTGGCCAGAGAAAGGGCGAAGGAAGGAGGTCTTCGTTTTTATCTTTTTTTGAGCCCTGTGTCTCCTTAGACTGATTTCCATTTTTATGTATTGTGTGTGCGTTTTTACTAGTATGTGTATGCATATTCCTTCTCCATACATATATACTATTTTATTATAAGGAATTTATATATATATATATATATATATATATACACTTCCTATGTTGTGTAGGGTTCGTGTGTGTGCTTGTGTTTGTTTTTTGCCAGTATGTGTATATATATATATATTCGTTCTCCATAGATACTTGTGTGTGTATGTGTGTGTGTGTGTATGTGTGTGGTCCGACCAGTGTATTTGGAGTGTTTGCTGTGTGTTTATGTGTGTGGGGTTATGATCTGTTTAGTGCTGGTTTAAATTTGTCTATGAAGTTTTTTTTCTTGTATTTGTAGGTAAGAATAATTGTTTGATATAGTGGCATAATTTTAAATTTACCCTGATTACATTTGTAGATGTGTTGTGATACAAAGAGTTTTCTGTTGTTTGGTAATTTGATGTTGCTTTTGTAAAAGGAAACGCTGTTGTTTAGTGCTTGGCTGATACCTATATAGGACTTGTTGCATTGTGTGCACTTGAGTAAGTGTATGTGTGTGTATGTGTGTGCGTGTGTGTACGTGTTGTTATTATCATAATGTTGAACTTTCTGGCTTTCTTCCGGTGTTTGTTATAATGAGTAAAAATTCCCCAAAATAATGTAATACAGTGTCACCCGGATATAAGAGAGTTGTCGGGACCGGAGAAGAAGTCTCTTATATCCGGGTCTCTTATATCCGGGTTACACTGTAGTTTCAAAAGTAAATGTATCCGTTACAGAAAATCTGAATGTATTTAGATATTTACTAAGCTTAGTTTAGTCTGGAAAAAGGCTACAGTGTTTCAGTGCCCAATGATGATTTAAGCTACTTCGGTCTCAATGATCCTCATGGTAGGCTTGCGATTTCTGCTCCATTTTCAATTTTTATGGGGAAAATTATGAACCTGCAAAACTTCTTTTTTGTTGGTCAATTGCCAGCTCTTCTGTTGCCAACGTCGACGACAGACTTGAAAAGAGAAAACTAAAAAGAAAACAACAATTTTCAGTTGAGCAAGTTGGCTTTTAAAACTTTCATTAGACACCAAGCAAATGACAGAGAAGGAAAATTGCAATCGAAAAGATAAAAAAGAAAACGAAAAAAAAGGAGCCAGAAAGGCGGGAGTTGTGGACTTTGCCTTAAATAACAAAATAATGCACCTTCATTTAACAGCATGAAAAAAACAAACTACAGATTGAGAAGAAAGGGAGGTATTTCCTCTCTCTAAATTCACTATTTTTTCAATTCCCATGCTGGGGTGATGAAGTAGAAATTAAACAAAGCAGGAAAAGATTAACAGATAAAATTTTTTTAAAGGTTGAGAGTTGAATACCATACAATCACCTTCAACATTATGTTTCTATGGAAACTTTTACTGACCTATTTTAATTCTTCTCACTTACGACTTTTCAGCTCTTAGACCAGCTAACCTTTTTACATTTTTTTTTTAAAAAGCACATAACTTGAAACAGTGTTAATTAAGTCCTATTTTTTTTGTTTTGTTCAATACTATTTGTACATTAATTAATATTGCATATAAATTAATATTGATTGATTTGTTTTTACGGCTTATCAACCCATTTGCTGATTATTTATTTCAAACCAGAAAATAGTTTTTAGATTCATCAATTCAAGTTTTACTGATTAACCCAGATCTGATGGGGAGAAGAGGCGATTTCATACTTTTTTCAAGGATATCTATACGTTTCGGATTCATAAAAATAAATCAAAATTAATTATAGCATCAAAAAATAATTACAATAAATAATTATAACAGTTATAATTATCATTAATTCACTTGTCGGAGTTAGCTCCTCCTTAATTCTCAAATTGTCACTAGGAGTCATTCTCCCTATACTATAAATACTGGGCGACTTCTCGCCTCGTTCTCTTTTTCATTTCTTCATTTCAGCGACTACAATGTAAGCTCTCTTAGAAGATCCGCGTCCTCCCATTTGTGGGAGACGCCATGAACATTATACACACATACACGTACGTACGAACATTCACCAAAGAACAGACACAAACGTTCACACACAGAGAAATATTATTGTCTATGTCCATTGTAAAATTGTTTTGTTTAATACATATATTTGTTTATATATATATATATATATATATATATTATATGAATCATTCATACAAAATGTATGTAATGTAAATTCAACTGCACCACATACTTGATATATATATATATATATATATATATATATATATATATATATATATATATATATATATATATATATATATCGGTCTTGTTTGTTTTCTTTATCTTCAGTTGGACTTAATTCAAGTCCGGCCATTTTCATGTAGTTGGACCTTTTAATATTCTACCAGGTGTTTCTAATACAAACTCACATTGATACACACGGTCCTCAATACACTCATTCTAAACCAACGAGAATTGAACCCACTTTTCTCCTCTACAAACACAAAATACGTGACATTCTCACTATCAGACAAGAAGTTCACACGGACAGGTCGATAAAACGTGCGTCAAAGAAAATTTTGTCTTCTTTTCCTTTTTCAGGCGATAATAGTAATATTTATGCTTTAGCATACAACAAAAATTCGAGGTAAGAAAATCCAAACATTTCTTACATTTTTGCAACTAAATTATTTGGAAACTCGTTACTAACATGTACAGTGTAACCCGGATATAAGAGAGTTGTCGGGACCGGAGAAGTCGCTTATATCCGGGTTTCTCTTATATCCGGGTTTGGTCTATTTTATATACATTAACACAGGCTCTAATTTGGGACCAGAGAAAATCTCTCTTATATCCGGGATTCTCTTATATCCGGGTTACACTGTATATATAGAAAAAGACATACGAGAAAGACTATGTACTTTACTTACTCTTTATCGTAATCTTCTCTCAGATTCTGATCCATATTTGATCGAGATTTGATCCCATGACCCAAAACTCACAATTTTACTCAATATTACTGTCTCTTGTGTCTCCAACACCCCAATACTAATACCCAATACTAACCAGATAATAAATAATAGTCCTTTTGTTCTTTCCGTGTCTTGCTGTTTCTCATTTTTACGAGTATTTTTGGATATAAAAATGTTTAAGGGGTTTATAATTATTTACTATAACTCCCCTACACATGTAAGAGAATATGTTGCAGTAATAAGCTGGTCGAGTGGAAAATACGCGTCTGTCTCCTGGTATGTATTTACCACAACAATAATTACAGACTAGAATGTGAGTCCGGGTAATAAAATAGAAGAACACCAAAACTATATATATAAACAAAAGATAAGTGTGTATTACCAAAACAAAGGTAGAGATAAACAATAGAATATTGTTGCGTGTTACCAAACAATGACGATGAAAGGCGAAAACATTTGAAGGTGTTTGTGTAGAAGTCAGTGTAACAAGCGTGTGTGAGATAGACATGTCGGAGTTAGCTCCTCCTTAATTCCCAAATTGTCACTAGGGGTCATTCTCCCTATACTATAAATACTGGGCGACTTCTCGCCTCGTTCTTTTTTTCATTTCTTCATTTCAACGACTACAATCTAAGCTCTCTTAGAAGATCCGCGTCCTCCCATTTGTGGGAGACGCCATGAATATTATACACACATACACGTACGTACGAACATTCACCAAAATACGAACATTCACCAAAGAACAGACACCAATATTTACAGAGGACAAAGGAAAGCGAACATGCCACAGCGGCCGCGTTCTTATCTACGTGCGACTACATCTGAAAGCTAGAGAAAAGATAAACGGAAAGAGAGAGAGAGAGGGATTGACAGAATGTCACTACTTATTTATAGGCTTAGAGAGCGTCCCCTAGCGGCGGTTTTTTAGGAAGGCAAGTGGGAGTAACTTGAAAAGTATAAGGAAGCCAGCAGGAATTAGAAGTCGGCTCTCTTACAGCACCTGGTATTCCCAAGCGGTGACCCATCTAGTTACTGACCAGGCTCAGCGTCGCTTAACTTTGGTGATTATATGAGAACCAATGTTTCAACATTATATGTTACAAATTAATATTACTTGTAAAAAATGCTAGAAATAATCCAGAACTTATGCTGGTGAATAAGTGGCTGTATACAGAAAGAAGTGAGTACATAAAAATGGAAAGAGGTGCAAGACAAGAATGAGTCTTTTTACCAGATTCATTCAAACTTTACAGCAAGGCAATCCTAAGAGAATTAGAAATCCTATCAGAATTTATTCTTAACAATTCTGGGTTGATGTAAAAAAAAACTATAGGAAATCCTAGTCAACTGTATAAAACTCCTTTCTTAGATCAATGGTTAAAATGGCTTCAAGCGAGTGAAGGGTGCAGGTCATGGACTGGCGCTACAGAATCGCGAACAAAGAACTGTACCAAATAACAGAAACTGTATCACTTTCAACAACAGATTCAAAAGTTGACAAAACTAAAATAAATAAACAGAGAGGCGTTGTCGATTAAATCTAACAAAACTTGTCTGAATGCATTTTTGCTGTCTAAATAGTCATTATACATCTCTCACTTTCTCTCTCTTTCACTCTCTCCTTTTTCTCTCTTGCTTTCTCGTATGCTCTGTCTTTCTTTCTCTATCTCGTTCTCTCTCACTACCTCTTTCTCTCTCTCTCTCTCTCTCTCTCTCCTGCTTTCTCATATGCTATGTTTCTCTTTCTATCTATCTCTCTTTTTCTCTGTCTGTCTGTCTGTCTGTCTCTCTCTCTCTCTCTTGGCAACGAACATTAGGGCTGGCGCTACAGAATCACGAACAAAGGAATGTACCAGATAACAGAAGTCATATCACTTGAGGTCTTTCAACAGCAGATTCAAAAGTTGACAATTACAAAACTAAAATAAACAGAGAGGCGTTGTCGGTTATATCTCACAAAACTTGTCTGAATGAATTCTTGATGTCTAAATAATCATTATACATCTCTCACTCTCTCTTTCTCTCCCTTTCACCCTCTTCTTTTTTTATCTCTCGCTTTTTCTCTTTGCTCTCTCCCTTTCTTTTTCACTCCCTCTCTTTCTCTCTTACTCTCTCTTTCCTTCTCAATCTGTAAACTACAACAGTTTTCTCAGATCAATGGTTACAAACTGCTTCGAATGAATAAATAATGTATGTCTTAGTGAGAACCATCTTTCTTCCAACCTTGGAGTCTGGCGCTACAGAATCCCAAACAAAGAACTGTGCCAAATAACAGAAACCATATGACTTGAAGACCTTCAGCAGCAGCAACAACTAAAATGGATAGCACACGTAACTCAAAGAGAAAATAATGACATAATCAAGATGTTGATGTCCTACACTACTTCAAACACTGGAAAGAACAATAAGACTTAATGGACTTAAGAAACCTATCTTCCAGAAAAATTAATAGAAAGATTTTATTAATTTTAATTTTATTATTTAATTTTGACTGTTAGTTCAATGGATGCCAAATGTTTCCTTATAAGGAAATTGCAGTAGAGTTGAACGATAGGTACTGTTACAAGAAATCATTGCTTTTATTAAAGGAACAGGCTATTTTATCGGTCTCTGTAAAATAAACAAACATGCTTTTATGCTTATTTTACTGGCTTCAGTAAAATAAACCTTCAGGCTATTTTGCTGGTAAATATTTTTATAATTATGAAGACAGTCAATGTTAAATATGACACACAGATTTAACTCGGAAATTTATTTATATTCACCGTCAATTATTAAGACAATTTAAAGTCTTTTCCACCATCAATTCTTAAAATACAATGGTTAAAACATTAAGTGCAGAAGGAGAGTGTGTTCATGTGCTATAGTCTTTAATCGAACGCCACCTAACGTCCATCCATGGACTTATTTGACAACAGGAGAAAATCCTGAAAAGGTATAACAGATATTCCTCGTTCATTCTATTAAATAAACGACATTTAAATGAAGAATTGTTGCCTAAATATACAATGTTAATCACATTAACTGCCAAAGGTCAATTACAAAATCTGATTTTTTTAAGCATTTCACCCCAAACAAGGAGGGAGTGCCACTAGCATGCAAGGGATTACAGAGAGTGAAAGTAAGAGTAAAGAGGGATGTTTGAGGAAAGCATCACGGGGATCAAGGTCAAGGCATCAGAAGATGTTGTCTGACATTATACTTGAAGCTTTAAGATTATGGTTATCAGGGAAGCAAGTAAGAGGAAGGGAGTTCTACTGACGGGAAGTGCGAGAGAAGAAGCTGTTGGAGTAGAAGAGGCCGATACATTTAACTGTTTCGACAGTAAAAGGGTGGGACCGAGATGCCAACCCTTAAACACGCTTAAATTGATGCAGATGCGGCACCAGTGAAAGTAGCGTGTCAGAGCAGTTGGCATGACAATATTTGGAGAAAAGACAGATGGAAGCCACATCACGTCTTTGAGAAAGTGATTGGAGTCGAGATGTCAGGTCAGGACCTATCACACTGCATATCCTTCTTTGCACGTAATAATTTTTTTATGAGTTGATCTATAGCTTCAACTGAAATCTTAACATTGTTTTTTTTTGTCATCCGTTAGGACTTCAATGGTCTAGGTGTGCTTAAGTTGTCGTGACTACACATGCGCATGAATAAGAGACCCTGGAAGTTTAAAAATTTAGAAATTATTTCTTTTATATGTATTGGAGAAACTTCAACATGTTTAAATAAAAGATTATATGAACACAAAAGAGGCGTTTAAAAAACCAAACTCATTTTGTGTCCAGGTTCTTACAACGTTTCGTGGAATCTTCCACAACAAGCCAGTTAAGCCCTGCTAGGAAATGCACTATTCCTGTTGTAATTTTCACCATCACAATCTTACAAAATATATAACAAGCATTCATTGATTAATCTACTCAAAACTAGCTCGCTGATTGGTCAGTTCCGACCAATCAGATATCCTGCACGCGAGGAATGAAATTTACCGCGTTTTCCATCTGAGCCAGTCACGTGATTCATGATCATATATAAACAGAACACGTGTAAGCTCCCTGTTGTTTCTTTTCATTCATCTCTCTCGCGTCTCATTTCTTGCTACCAAGATGTAATCTTCAAGAACTCCCGTCTTAACTAATGCATTCAGACGTTAAAGACCATTACCAACATTCACGCAAGTACGAACTCTGAAACCTCTTCTGAACTTTTACCAACTTGTACAATACATAATTCCAAACATGCTAAAGAAACTTTATTCTTTCTAGACTACAGTTTAATAATTACTTTCACTTTATGAACTTAGGTACAAATATTACCTAATCTAAGAGACACAACTCTGTTTAACCTTTACACTCAGTATTCATGCATATATCAAACAATAATAAATTCAATTGTTACGTTTTGAAACAATATGTTTATGAAGCATTATTCTCTGTCTTGTATTAATTGTTGTGGATGGAAGATAATTGAACACACACAATTTTAAGCCTTCTGATAATTCAAACCTTCTATTCCTCTCCAACACACATCACACATCCGCAACAGTTTCACCATTCTTGGCAGATTTCCCATTATCTCAATGTTGGATATTTAGCAAAAAAGATGATGGAAACAAAAGGGAAAAGAATCTAGATGAAATTGGCGAGATTGTATGAAGAAAAAAAAATTCTTTCTAAATTTTAAAACTCCCAGCGTCTCTGTCTCATGCGCATGTGTAATCGCAACAGTTTAAACAAACCCAGTTCGATGAAGTCCAAACCGATGAAACGTATCACAAAATATTTCACCATTTTGTCATACATCTTTTCTTTCAAAACTGTTCTTGATACGTAGAATTTAAATAAAAATTTATATATCGTTATCCCAATTTGGAAACGACGTTCTGTACTGCTTGACATTCCCTCCAGAAGTTCCAATACGAACATTTCAGAGTTTTGGGGTGCAGAGGATTCGGAAAGATTTGGACAAGTCTAATGTTGATTGGCGTTTGATCAGCGAAGGTGTTTGGAGTGATCACTAGTAATGGCGACGTTATGCCTTCATTCATCTTCCCACAGGGCCTCAGACTCAACATGGAGGCCTACATCAAGTATATTGAGGAAGTAGTGCTGTCCTAGATCAAGAGGGTGGCTGCTGGAGGAGCCTGTGTCTGGCAAAAGGGCTCTATACAATGTTTCTACTGACGAGTGTCCTTAGAAACAAAGAAAAGATTGTTGGACGGCTATGTAATATCTGATCTCCTATATGGCAGTGAATGCTGGACAATCTCTTCACAGATGAAGAAGAGAATTGAAGTGACAGAGATGTTGTTCTACTGACGAGTGTCCTTAGAAACAAAGAAAAGAGTGTTGGACGGATATGTAATATCTAATCTCCTATATGGTAGTGAATGCTGGACAATCTCCTCACAGATGAAGAAGAGACTTGAAGCGACAGAGATGTGGTTCTACTGACGAGTGTCCTTAGAAACAAAGAAAAGAGTATTGGAAGGCTATGTAATATCTAATCTCCTATATGGCAGTGAATGCTGGACAATCTCTTCACAGATGAAGAAGAGATTCGAAGTGACAGAGATGTTGTTCTACTGACGAGTGTCCTTAGAAACAAAGAAAAGAGTGTTGGACGGCTATGTAATATCTGATCTCCTATATGGCAGTGAATGCTGGACAATCTCCTCACAGATGAAGAAGAGACTTGAAGCGACAGAGATGTGGTTCTACTGACGAGTGTCCTTAGAAACAAAGAAAAGAGTGTTGGACGGCTATGTAATATCTAATCTCCTATATGGCAGTGATTGCTGGACAATCTCTTCACAGATGAAGAAGAGACTTGAAGCGACAGAGATGTGGTTCTACTGCCGAGTGTCCTTAGAAACAAAGAAAAGAGTGTTGGACGGCTATGTAATATCTAATCTCCTATATGGCAGTGATTGCTGGACAATCTCTTCACAGATGAAGAAGAGACTTGAAGCGACAGAGATGTGGTTCTACTGCCGAGTATCCCCAGAAACAAAGAGAAGAATGTTGTACGGCTATCTAATATATAATCTATATCAATAGTGAATGTTGGACAATTCCCTCACTTATGT